ACAAGAAAGCTCTTGCTATCAGAATGGAAATCGGTGACAAAAAAGGAGAAGCAGCAGATTACGGAAACCTAGGAACAGTGTTCCAATCGCTTGGTAATTATGAAACAGCGCAAGAATATTACAAGAAAGCTCTTGCTATCAGAATGGAAATCGGTGACAAAGAAGGAGAAGCAGCAGATTACGGAAACCTGGGAACACTTTTCAGGTCGCTTGGTAATTATGAAAAAGCGCAGGAATATCACAAGAAAGCTCTTGCTATCAGAATGGAAATCGGTGACAAAAAAGGAGAAGCAGCAGATTACGGAAACCTAGGAACAGTGTTCCAATCGCTTGGTAATTATGAAACAGCGCAAGAATATTACAAGAAAGCTCTTGCTATCAGAATGGAAATCGGTGACAAAAAAGGAGAAGCAGCAGATTACGGAAACCTAGGAACAGTGTTCCAATCGCTTGGTAATTATGAAACAGCGCAAGAATATTACAAGAAAGCTCTTGCTATCAGAATGGAAATCGGTGACAAAGAAGGAGAAGCAACAGTCTACGGAAACCTAGGAGCACTGTTCAATTCACTCGGTGAACATGATAAGGCTCAAGAATATCATCAGAAAGCACTACATATTAGAGAGAAAATTGGGGACAGAGAAGGAGAAGCAAGTTCCTTTGGAAACCTAGGAGTTTCTTTCCTGTCACGCGGGAAATATCCTATGGCTGAGAAATATCTAGAGCGTGCACTGGGAATAAGTAAGAAAATTGGTGATAAAGAGGGAGAAGCGGCAGATTACGGACATTTGGGGATAATTTCACATCATCTCAAAGAATATGAAAAGGCTCAAGAATATTACAAGAAAGGCCTTGCAATCTTCAAGGAAATTGGCGACAGACGAGGAGAAGTAGTCCACCTAGCAAACTTAGGAGCATGTTTTAAATCGCTTAACAAATGTGAAGTGGCCGAAGAATACTTCAAGAAGGCTCTTTCATTGAGCAAATGTATTGGACTAAATTTCCATGAGTTCCAATGCCTTTGTAAGCTGTCGATGTTAAAGCTATCACAAGTGAATCAAAAAGAAGCCATTTCGTACCTTTTTCAGTGCATCGAGAAGTTCGAGACGTTGCGGGATTTTGTTCAAGATAACGATCAATTTAAAACATCGCTTCTAGAAGAGCACGGCACTTACCCCTACAAGTTGCTCAGTAACCTGCTTTCCTCCACCGGGAATCCAAGGGATGCTCTTTATGTTGAAGAGCTGAGACGGGCAAGAGGCCTGGCCGACTTGATGGCAGCCAAGTACTCTGTTAAAGAGCAGATCTCAGGCAATCCACAGTCATGGCAGGGCATTCAAAATATCATCACAAGGGAAACAGACTGTTCATGTCTTTACATTTCGATTGAAGAAGAACATGCACGGTATTGGATTCTCAAAGCAACTGGAGACATTCATTTCTTACAAAAGAAAGTCAGTCTGGAGAAACGTGTGGTGACCCAATTAGTTCCTAGTTTGGAAGAGTTCTTTACAGAAAGCTTTCGCAGCCTTGGCATCTTACCCCAACAGAATTGCGAAGATAGATCACTAGATGATACCGAATCGATCTCAACTC